TGCTTTTTACGCTATTTTGTTGTTACGCCGAAACATGATAGAACCACTATGCGTTGAATCTAATTTCTGGCTCATTTTAGTTTATTCTGTCTGAAAAAATGCACAAGGGTTTCGATTTTGCAACAGGTATCAAAGGTATTTTATTGGCGGGTTGAAAAGGATTTACTTTCATTTCCTGTATAATCGTTTCATCTTCAGCCAGAGTGGTATGTCTTTGGTGCGTGTTAAAATGTCGCTGGTCTTGAACTAAGTTACCACCTACTGAGCAGATTTTCCTGTGTTGGTGGAAAGCCATTTTTGTAAAAACAAATGCAAGCAGAAAATTATAAATTTTCGACAATTTTCTGCTTGCATTTGTTTTTACAAAATGGCTTTCCGACCAACACAGGAAAATCTGCTCAGAATTGCAGCTCTCTGGAATGCTGGAAATACAGTGCACGAAATTGCCGCGCAAGTTCAATGCAGTGTAAAAACTGCTAGGGGTGTGTTCCGTTTCTCGCATGGTGCGCATAATGCGTCGTTTATCCTTGTTGCTCACCAAATGTTAAACAAGGACAATGGATGCATCATGCGCATCATGCGCGATACGGAACGCACCCTAGGAGATGGGTACAAAAATATGAAGTAGGTGGTAACTTATTTCAAGACCAGCGACATTTTAACGCGCGTCAAAGACATACCACTCTGGCTGAAGATGAAGCAATTATACAGGAAATGAAAGCAAATCCTTTTCAACCCGCCAATAAAATACCTTTGGTACTTGGATTAAATGTATCAGGTCGGATAGCTCAAATACGACTTCGTGATGCAGGAATAAAATGCCGGAAAGCCGCGAAGAAACCACTTTTGACACCTCGACATAGGGATCAACGAGTGGATTTCGCCATGAATCATTTAGATTTCACGGATGAAGAATGGCAGAAAGTCATATGGATGGACGAGAAAACTATTTCCATCGATAAAGACGGTCGTTATCGCGTCTGGAGAACCGACAACACCAGATACGAGGCGGACAACGTTTTACCATCGATGTTTAGTGGCCACGTCACGGCGTCATTCTGGGCATGGATGTCAGCTGACGGTCCAGGAGATCTGGTGGAAGTTGGTAGAAATTTTAATGCTGAGCAGTATGTAGATATTTTAGACGGAATTATGCTGCCCAGTGTACGAAGACGCTATTGCGAAGAAAACCATCCAAGGATTATTGTAGTGGAGGACAACAGTCCAATCCATACTGCTCGAATTACTAGAGCATGGTATGAGGACCATCCGGAAATCATAAAGTTAAATTGGCCTCCGAGGTCTCCGGACCTCAACGTAATTGAAAATTTATAGGGAGAAATGGTTCGAGAGTGGACGCCCCATGTTGTTCACAGAAGGGAAGACCTCCTGCAACGAGTGCAACTAGCTTGGGCTGATCTTTAGCAACGTCCTGATTACTGCCAGACAATAGTCGCTTCAATGCACCGCAGACTTCTTGCCGTATTAGCCGCCGATGGACATGCTATAAATTACTGAGAGGTAATGTCATCATATTGATAAAAGAAGTATTATTTGAAATTATATTATATATAAAGAGAGACTAACTTGATATTTTTTCTTAAATAGCATGTGCGGTATTTTTTTAAAACAAGACCTCTGTTTTATGCTAAAGCAACATGCATTTGCGTACTTTCATGATTTTCGTTCTCTCCACAGGCTCGGCATTCCTGGTACGCAAGGATTACGTACATAAATAATGAGCGGAGGTCTTTCGGTCTTGACCACAGACATCTATATAATACGTAGACTGCTAGGCTCGACTCCCAAAGCATCGAGTTCAATCTTTTTTAATATCTATTTAGTTCTAAATATGTTATATGTTATATGTGTTATATGTTATGTGTTATATTTTATATGTTATATGTGTTATATGTTATATGTTATATTTTATATGTTATATGTTTTATGTTTAATTAAAGATTAGATAATATATTCTTAAATTAAATGTTATATATATAGATATATCAATTGTAAATCAAAGATGTATGTATACACTCAGTAAAATTTCCATAGTTCCATGTATTAAGTTGATTATAAAGACAACAGAAAACTCTAAAGTCAATTATTCAGTTACCATGTTACTAATGAAGAACAGTGCTACTAATGAAGAATTGAGTATCTTCAGTGAGTGTCCTCACCTGACTCCTTGGCTTATGGGTCTTCTCAATGTCATCTTTCGTCCTTGTGAAATAGCTCAGCCATTAGACAATTATGTCGGAGGATGGGTTTAGTCTGTTGTATATCGCTACTGAAA